TGACTGCAGTTCAATTACTCACTATCTACACACACATTACATTACCTTCCCCTCTTTTATATACCCAACTACCCTATATCTAGCAAACATTAGAGCATTCGCCAAAGTACAGGATAGTTCTAGAAAGTAAAGGGCGTGAGAATCACATGATCTCGATGACGCAACAATATTATACCGTTTTGAAGCGTGAATATATAATAAAATACAACTGAAATGTTATGAAAGGTTAGTGAAAGGGATATGACGTTTATAGTTTCCTTTTTAATCTTTTTGATTGTGGTTTTGTTTTACTCGTAATTCTGTGAGATGCCAAGAGTTTTTCTGTATTTGATTTTGCATTTTTAACCTTCAAGTTAACTTTTAACCCAGTTTGGATTCCGACGATAAAATCTAATTTGAGAGTGGAACGAGCTCTGAAAAATGTTGCAGTATGTAGGTCTAGTGATTTGGTTTTGAATTTTTGGTCAAAGCTACACAAAGATATACTTGCAGCTAGTAAACAGTATTCACAGTCATCTTACCGAAAAGTGCGATTTGATCGTCATTCTTAAAGCGCACTTAAGCGGGGGGCATTTTTGCGGCAACCAGACGCGTCCTATAAACCCTTGGATTAACAGTCTGGGAACGCTGACCACCTGAACACGTTCGGCCATTCTATACAAAACGAAATAAGTGTTGAAGGCAATTATGGATATTTTAATATATATTTTTTTTTCATTACCTGTGTTTTGGTTAATTCAATTTGCTGTTTAGCTCTCACTAACGCTGTAACGCCAAAGATGTAGGCTACATAAATATTATTTCTTTAACGTTTGCGGTTTCCACCAATGAAATATCTACATAACTAACCGGCTTTTTGCTGATTGGCTAATAGCATCTCGATCATCAACTAGCTTAGTGGCACAGCCGACATTAGGCATCCATTGATGAAGGCGAGAGATTGAAGGTATTTTAATTATTATCGACCATACTAAACTTATTTTTATGCTTATGAATCTATAGTAGATTTACCTACATTATTATCCATCTCAATCGATCTTACGTCCTGTTGATACATATACACTATGTAGAAGACTATTCTAGTCCCAGTATTAAGCTTAACTGAGTACAAAAGACTTCTACTGTTCTAGTAATAGTATTGAACTTGAAGTACTACTAAGTTAGGCCTAAGGCTTGAAATAGAATAATTTATTAGTGTAAATTATTGATATTATATACAGTTTTGGAAATTATAATGGTGTTTAGAAAAAAATATTGTAAACGGGTCGATAGTACAGTTTCATGTAAGTTTTGTTCACTTTAAATTTACTACATACATCGAGATTACTTCTTTTATATCACCTAGGGTACAAAATTACAACGTCATGGGATCTGAATTGTTGATGGAGGCTCCATTTCCTCAAGGTCGAAGGTAAGCTTATCGGCAGCATGAGCGAAGATTTTGGTTGGTCAGGTAACTTTAATAAAAACATGTTAGAAAATATTTGAGTAGTGTATTATAAACTTATTAAAAGTAAATAAAACCTCTTTGTAACGTATGACTAAAAACCAAAACGATCGTTAAAAGTATATTACCCAAGTAGACCAAGACTAAGAAACTCGAGGTTTGTCAAAAAAAAAAACATAGACACCATACAATACAACCTGTAGTCATAATTCCGGCATATTACGGCACCAAAAGATATTTCAGTGTTAAATGCATATTGGTATGGAGCTGAGATATACCTTAAATTTTGTCCATTGGGTCTAGAAATAGAAATTAAGGTAAGATCATTTGGTCAAAATTTCGTTTCTTTGTTAAACTGTTGCACACTAAATAGTAAATGACTAACACATTATATCTGTAATAGTCTTCTACATGTACATTTATTTAAACTTATAAGCACACATGTGCCTTAAAGTATTAGAATTATATAACTATTTTCAGGTCACATAAAACATTATGATTTATTAAAATCTAGAAAAAATAAGCAGTATTATCTAAGTCTCCAGTACTGCAGACAATAAAACAAATATATATAAATTATAATATACCAACAGAGCAGGAGATATGGTAAAGGGGCTAGGAGATGCAGTTTTTGTGGTGCATGTAGGGGCTAATGATCTAGGAAAAGGTAGTTCAGAGGAGCTAATTAATAAGTACAAGGGGTTGATAAAGGCATTTAAATAAAAGGCCATATCTTAATTTTGTAAGAGATACTGCCCAGAATTAACTGGGGATGAAGTTATAAGTAGGTCACTAGGGCTAAATGCTAGGCTTAGGTTAGTATGTAAGGATGAGCAGATTGGCTGGTTGGACTTGTGGGATCAGTTCAGTGGAAGAAGGGAGCCTTTTTCGATTGGATGGTTTACATTTAAATAGGGTAGGGGTTGGCTTGTTTGATAAGGCTATTAACTCCGCTGTAAGTGAAGTTTTAAACTAGGACTAGACAGTAGTGAGGGCCAGGAAAAACTAAATGCAAAAAGAATAAGAGGCAGAGAAAAGTTTAGCATAGGGGATGCATATAGAAGTAGTTTTAAGGGTAGGCTTAATTGTTACTATTGTAATGCTAGAAGTATAATAAATAAATTAGATGACTTCAGAGCAGTGGTAGGAATGGAGGATTTTGATATAATGGGAATAAATGAAACATTGTTAAACATAGAGAATTTTTTAGACAAAAGTTTCTTTGAAATACATGGTTACAGGCTAATTAATAGGGATAGATTATTAAAGAGGGGGGACGAGTGGCTTTATATGTAAAATGTGAGTTACATCCTGTTGAAGTTGAGGATATCAAAGATAATAGCAAGAAGATTGAATCCATTTGAGTTTCTATTAGTGGATATAAAAGGGAAAAGGCTTTCAGTGAGAATTTGTTATAGACCACCAAATAATACTGATGAAACTAGTGAGTAACTTTACAATGAGATTAAGATTTCAGCTGATAATCAAGCCATAATTACAGGTGATTTTCTTCACCAATTAGTCAAGGAACCTACTATAAACAATGCTATTTTAGATTTATTGTTAACTCTTTCAGCACGGGCTCAGTCCCAGGGACTGACCTCATAACCAATTTGTGATTGTTATAGTTTTCATGTTATAACTTTTAAATTAGTAAGTGAATGTTAATGAAATTTGGCAAATTATCAGTAAACATTACAATGCTTTCATATGCAAAATATTATTTTTTGTTTTTATTAAGTCTAAGGGTTTATAAAGTAATGTTTTTCTCATGTCTTTTTATTTCTTGCATGTCCTGTCTATCATGCAAAGTAATATTCATTTGAAGATTAAAAATACTTTTATGCATCAGAACATTTTTAAATTTCACATGTGAAATCTTTATAATGTCAAGGTAGTTATCAAATGGTTCTTCTTAAAAAAAATATTTTATCTGTTATTTTCAGAATGAATCTTTGTATGGGTTCAGTAGATTTGACCAATCTTGCAACCATAAAAAATTAGGAAATAAATATAAATTATGCCTTTCATTCTAGAATGAGACTAAATAGCTTCAATCTCATAACATTACATTTATATATCTTTATTATATTGACCTTTCACCCGTGCCTGGCTAACAACACAGAAGTTACAATGATGCGGCTCACATGCACTCATGCTATCGTATCAAATAACATAAAACTGACCTTTGGTCTATCCAAAGTAACTTATCTTAGCTGTGTTTTAGTAGACTAGTATTTTGTAAAATACAGTCACATTTCAATTATTATACATTATATATGAATATAGATTATTACTATTTTGAAATAAGCTATGTTTTTTCCTAAAACACAGAACAGTAAATAAAGAAGTAAAACAAACAATTATCTCTTCTAGTTATGACCTTTGTACTCAGTTGCTGCTTGATGTAGATTGCTAAGCCTTTAAAAATTTTGCATGTGGAGGACATGAAACAAAATATTTTTTTTTGGTTTTATATATACTTTGGAATAATTAAAAAATTATAAATTACTACATCAATACCATAGAATTCTACTATAATTTATCAAACTTGATAACTAAGCTGTATTTGGGTCTAAAAAAATATGAAATTTTGAGCAGACTAAAGACACAACCTACCTCATTGAAATGGTTGATTTAAAAGAAAGAAATGATGCTAGGTACGCTAGAAAGGCTTAGAAAACCATTAGGGGGATATTCTGAGCTTTTGATTGGTTATTCATGTCATATATAGAAGTAAGTGTTTCAAAGGGAGCATTTCCAAAGTTGGAAGAAAGGTGAGCGGGGTGCCACTATTATTATTATTATTACATGAGCAATATCTTAGCAAATAGAAAAGATAAGACCTTATTTTATATTCTAGCTTGTTAATATCTGTAATTTGAGTTTCTAATTTGTATGAAACTATAGACTTAGTATTTTGACTTCACAAACATCCAATTTAAATCAGTGCTGCATTCAACATACCATGTGACACACAAAAATTGGTGTTTATCTGTGTTTTTTAATATTTACTTTTAAATTAAC